CTGTGGAGCAGCACAGCATGACTTTAAAGTGAACCTGGACTAGCGGGAAAGGTGTGTTGCAAACTCCAGAACAGACACTTAAAAAAAAGAAGTAAGGCTGATAAGTTAGAAGAGAAAATGGAAAGCTAGAAGATGCTCGACGAAAACCACGAAAGGAAGGGGAGCCCGGCTGGCTGTTGGTAGAGCACGCAACTCTCGATCTCGAGGTTGTGACTTCAAGCCCCACGTTGCGTGTTGAGATCACTTAAAAAAATAAAATAAAATAAAACCACAAAATGCAGAAAAAGAGTGGAAGACAAAAACAGGACCTAACTGCGTGTTGTCTTCAGGAACCCGCTTCAAATATAAGCACTTACAGATTAAAAGTAAATGGAGGGGTGCCTGGGCGGCTCAGCCTGTTGAGCGTCCGACTTCATTCGGCTCAGGTCATGATCTCATAGTTCACGAGTTCGCACCCTGTGTCGGGCTCTGTGCTGACAGCTCGGAGCCTGGAGCCTGTTTTGGATTCCGTGTCTCCCTCTCTCTCTGCCCCTCCCCCGTTCATACGCTGTCTCTCTCTCAAAAGGAAGCATTTTTAAAAAAAGGTAAATGGAGAAAAACACACTGTGCTAACGCTAATCAAAAGAAAGCAGAAGCAGTTGTATGATTTTCAGACAGAGCCAACTTCAAAAGAAAGGAAGTCGTGAGGGATAAAGAAGGCATTTCATAATGAGACGAGGTCAAGTCTCCAAGAGGACAACAGTTCTTAACGCATATACCCGATCAGCAGTGTCGGTAAAACCACAGGAAAAATAGAAGAACAAACTACTGTAGTCTGAGACTTTGATACCCTGGGTCAGAAATGAAAGGAGCCAGGGGCACCTGGGGGGCTCCGTTGGTTGAGCACCTGACTTCGGCTCGGGTCATGATCTCACTGTTTGTGGGTTCGAGCCCCGCGCCGGGCTCTGTGCCGACAGCTCGGAGCCTGGAGCGTGCTTCGGATTCTGTGTCTCCCTCTCTCTCTGCCCCTCCCCCACTCGCACTCTCTCTCTCTCAAAAAATGAATAAACATTAAAATAATTAATTTTTAAAACTCTGAAAGGATAATAAAAACCTCCTGAAATTAATAAGTGATTACAGCAAGGTTACAGGATATAAGACTAATATACAAAAATCAACTGTTTTCCTATACACCGACAATGACCAAGTGGAATTTGAAATTAAAAACACATTACCATTTACACTGGCACCCAAGAAAATGAAACACTTAGATATAAATCTAAAAACGTAGAGAGTATCTGTGAGGAAAACTATAAAACGGGCTAATGAAATCAAAGAAGAACAAAATTATGGAGATAGTCCATGTTCGTGGGCAGGAAGACTCAGTATTGTCCAGAGGTCAGTTCTTCCAAAATCGATCTATAGATGCAATGAAACCCCAACCAAAATCCCAGCCAGTTATTCTGTGGCTATCAACAAACTGATTCTCAAGTTTAAATGAAGAGGCAAAAGACTCAAATTCTCCACGATACTGAAGAAGACCAAAGCCGGAGGACTAATACTACCCGACTTGGAGACTCAGTACAGTGTAAAACTGCAGCCGTCAAAACTGTGTGACACCAAGAGTAAGAACAGACACATACGTGGATGGAACAGAGTGAAGAGCTCAGAAACAACCCCCCATGAATACGACCCATCAATCTTTGACAGAGCGGCCAAGGTGGTACAAAGGAGCCAAGACAGTCTCTCCAACAAATGGTGCCGGAACAGCTGGCCGTCCACGTGCAGATTAACGAATTTAGATGCGGACCTTACGCCCTTCGCAAAAATCCACTCAAAATGGGCCAGAGACCAAAATGTAAAATGCAAAACTAGAAAACTCCTGGAAGATCGCGGAAGAGAAAACCCCGATGACCTTGGGTGTGGTGAT